GGTGAGGGGCAGACCCTCAGTCGACGTAAGCATCTAGGAAGAATTTAGTCCACAGCTCAAGGCCCTATATGGGAGAGCCAAATCTGTAATCAGTTGTTTTGGGAACAGAAGAGACAGGCAGACGATAACAGTTTTCCATCTGCCTTAATGTTCTGCTGGTACATCCAATGTGGTGAATCCAGTCAGACAAATAATGTGGACAACTCCGCTGAGCCGAGCTCACAGCTTCTCCAAGATCAATTCCATCTGGCCAGCAAAGTCCAGGAACCACAGCCGGCCCACGACCCTCAGCAGAACCACTTGCAGACCAAGTCCAGCTCGCTCAAGGCAAAAGTCTGAGTGCTGATAGAACGGCAATCCTTCATATCGGTCAGGCAGCCAGGAAATGAACAGCTACCAATGCTGTTTGTAGAACACCAGGAGACCACCAAGCCAATCGGTAGAATCCAGTGATCGGAGTCTAGATACATATCCAGAACAGAACAGAGGTCCAACCTTTGACATGTCCTCCCATGGAAGAAAAAATTTTGTTCCAAAAATTTATTAAGAGACCAGCTAACCAAATCCATAAAAATAAAAATATCCATAATTTCTGGTTTYGGATGAAAACGTAGAGAAGGCTCCAAGCAGCAAAGCAGGGAAGATAAGGAAGGGCAGGAGAGAAGGAAAAAGCGTTTTACTCCTCCGAGAGTGGAACAAAAAAAATATTTAGGTCCCCTAATTCTAAAGCACTAATGCACTGAAAATTTAGCAAAAGCTAATTCTAAAGCACTAAAATAACCCAGTCATTCCATGAACATTCTTCAACAGACATGAGTCACATATTGCCATGCTCTTCTGTTAGTGCTTCCAAATTTAGCTCATAAATTTAGCAAGTTCTAATCCACTAATTTAAAATGAGCAAAAGCTCTAAAGCACTAGGAAATTAGTTCCCCTATTAGTGCTTTAGGGGAACTGTGCCACAGTTCCCCTAAAGCACTAATAGGGGAACTGTGCAGTTCCCCTAAAGCACTAATATTTACCCTAAAGCACTAATAGGGTAACTGTGCCCACCACTGGTGACAGGCACAGTCAGTTTCAGATCAGAATGTATTGTGAGAATAGTGTGGTGTGACCCAACCAGCAGGGGGCGACATAGAACAGCAGTTTTCTCTCTTATGGAGCTCCTTGCCATGGAGACAGAAGCTGTCCTGTCTCATCTTTACTTACCTGGATTTCAGGAAACACATCAGCTGACTGGGTGTGGTACTGTTACATAAACAACAATAGTTCAGGATTATTGCTTCCTTTAAATTTATTTTATTTATTGTATTGTATTTGTCTACAAATATGCTCAATAACTTTAAATAAAACCATTATCTACATGTTATATTTTACTGAAGACCTTCCCTCCCAGCTGCCTCTTCCAGCTCAGTTGGACCTCCTGCTTCACCCCATGATCCTCCAGCTCCTGATCGAGCTGAAACACAGGAATTATTTTTAATTTCAAGTTTAAACCAGGATTAAAGTACACAACAACACATATGAAACTAGCATCATGACGAAGCAATGCTGTGATCATCAATAAATCACCACACATATTCCTGTCTGTGCTTCTTCATGTTTTAGAAAACAAAAACAAACTTGAACCCAGATCAAAGTTTATCCAAACTACACAAAGAAATATTAACTAGAATCACAGAAATGTTTTATCAGAGGTAAATCACTAGAGGCGCTATCATGTGACTTTTCATGGTCAGAACAAGCGGCCATCTTGGTCAGGGCGAGGACAGACCGGTTTGTGATCCTGAATGTGTGGAAGCAGAAATGTTCCATCTGATGGAATGTAATGGTGGGTTTGATGGTTCTTCTCAGGGGTCTGTCTGTGCTGGGAGAGTTCTGCAGAGCTGCATGAACCTTCTGTCAACAACAGCTCCACTCCGCAGACACAACTGTCACAACTGAATGTGATTCAGCTCATCATGAAACTTTATTTACATTTGATAGTAATGTTTGTCACTAAATATTATATCAGGTAAAAACACGTCTGAAATGAATGATGTTTCTAAAATAACCAATACATATACATACATACATACATA